ATCCAAAAGGTCAAAGGTCAACTTCACTGTGACATCATCATGTAACCACTTTATTATATCAGTCTGTTTTTCTTCCTCTCTTGTTTTTTTCTTCTCGTTTGTCTTTTCTTTCTGTCACTCCCGCTGCGTCTCTTTTCTTCTCTCCTCTTTTCTTCCTCCTCATCCTTTCTTTTCTTCCCTTCGCTCCTCCTCTGTTCCTCCTCCACTTGCTCTTTTTTATCCTTCTATCCTGTTACTCTTTTCTTCTTCTTTAGTCCAACCTCTCTTGCCCTTCACTCCTCCTCCTCCTCTTCTTCAGTTCATTTTTTTCTCACCCTCCTCTTTTTCTGTCCATTCTTCCTTTCCTACTTCTCTCTCTTTTCTTTTCTTTCCCTCTCTTTGCTTCTCCTCCTCTTGTTTCTCTCCCTTTTCTCCTCCTGCATCTGTTCTCCCTTCATTCAAGCAGAAATTGTTTAATTGTGAACACACACACACACACGCACACACACACACACACTCTCTCACTGTGTGTGTGTATAAAAATGAAAGAGGAGTGTGGGTGTGGATGACAATGAAAGTGATATTGTGTGTGTGTTTGTGTGTGTGTTTGTGTGTGTGTGCGTGTGTGTATGTGTGTGTGTGTGTGTGCGTGTGTGTGTGTGTGTGTGTGTGTTTCTGTGGGGAAACTAATCCCATTAATTCAAAGTGCATAACAAAGAGAGAAAGAGGGTCCAGCTCCCCTGTCGTTCGTCTGTCCTCCCTCTCTTCTGTTTCCCCCCTCTCTCTCTCTCCCTCTCCCTCTCTCTCTCTCTCTCTCCCTCTCCCTCCCTCCCTCCCTCTCTCTCTCTCCCTCCCTCCCTCCCTCTCCTCTCTCTTCCATCTCTCTTCTCTCACCTCCCTCTCCTCCTCCTCTCTCTTCTCTCTCTCTGTCTCTCTCTCTCCCTCCCCTCCCTCCCTTCTCCTCTCTCTCCCTCTCTTTCTCCCCTCCCTCTCTCTCTGCTCTCCTCTTCTCTCTCCCTCTTCCCTCCCTTCTCCTCTCTCTCCTGCGCTCCGCTCCACTTCCCTCCTCTCTCTCCTCATCCTCCTCTCCCTCCCTCCTCTCTCTTCTCCTCCATCTTCTCCCTCCCTCCCTCTCTCTCTGCTCTCTCCCTTCCCTCTCTCTCTCTATCTCCTCTCTTCCTGCCTCATCCCTTCTCTCCTCCCTCCCTCCCTCTTCCTCCTCTTCTCCCTCAGCCTCTCCTCCCTCCCTCTCTCTCTCTCTCTCTCCCTCCCTCTCTCTCTCTCTCTCTCCCTCCCTCTCCCTCTCTCTCCCTCCCTCCCTCCCTCCATCATCATTATTCCTCTGTCAGATCGGAGGCTGATTTCCTGGAGGACTGAGAGAGCCGACCGACTGACGGAGGGATGGAGGAGACAGATTTTCAGCTCCTCCTGGGATCCTTGTTTCCTTCTCCTCTTCTCACTCCCTCTCTTCTTCTCTCTCTCTGTCACGCTTTCATTCATACTTTTTCCTCCTCCTTTCCATTTCTCTGTCTTCCCCTCATCCATCTCCATCCTCCTCTTTTTCTTCTTTTCATTTTATATTCTTGTTTTTCTTTTTTCTCCTTCTGCTTCCTCTTCCTTTTCATCTCTCTTTTACTTGTTCATAATTATTTGTCCTGTCACCTCCTCCACCTCGATTCTTCACTTTCTTTTTTTTTAATAGTTGTCCTCCTTTCTTTTTCTCTCTGTCTTCTTCTTTTGCTTCTTCGCCTCCATCTTTCCTCCTCGTTCACTTTCTGCCTATTTACCCCTGTTTCTCTTTATCTTCTTCTCCTTCTCCATCCCTTCCTCCTCCTTTATTTATCTCTTTTATGTTTACTCTTATCCATCTGTTCTTTCACCTCTCATGTTGTCTCTCAATCCCTCTTCTCTTCTTCTTCCTCTCTTCTCTTTTCTTTCCATCTTTTCTTTCATCTGTCTCTTCCCCACATTCAGGTCTGTCTCTCTTCCTTCCTCCCTCCCTCCTCCCCTTTATTCCCTTCACTCTCCCGCCATTTCCTTCCTTTCCTTTCTCTCTCTCTCTCCCCTCTCCCTCTTGTCTCTCTCTCTTCAAGGACATTTATATTATAAAGGATGAATTTGCATATTAATTCATTTCTTTCAATTTTCTCAGATTAGACGTTGTCAACACGTATCAGCGATGATCAAACTGCCACGTCCACCAGAGACCTGTGTGTGTGTGTGTGTGTGTGTGTGTGTGTGTGTTCAGGGAGTTGAGGAAAAAAAGGAGGGAACACAACCAGCCTCACAGCGTTCATAAACACACACACACACACAGATGAATGGGAGCGTCCTCATTAAAACAACAGAGTGTGTCGTTTGTTCAAAGGCCTTAAACGACGTCTTTACATCACCTGACAAACAGGCTCTGAATGATGATGTCGTCTCAAACAAAGGTGTGAACACTGCAACGTTCTTCCACCCTGTTTCCTTCAGGCTCGGATCTTATTGGTCTGAATCACTGCGTTCCTCAACGGGCATTTATAATGATGTCTCTGTGATGACGCCGCGCTGAAATGTGGTTTAAATGTTGTTAGAATCTGTGGACTCTCCACTTTCCGTTTCATATTCTCGTGAGATCGTACGTGACTCAGAGCTGGAGCCAGAATCCCTGAAGCAGTCTACAGTAAAGTGACACTTTACATTTATTCTACATTTATCTACTATTTCACTCGTATGTTGTTCTGTTTGTATGAACATGAGACTTTGGTGAATCAGTTTCAAGCACCAAAACAATTCATCCACATCAGTGAAGGTTTGTTTTCAAAATTAAATTAAAAAAACTGGCCTTCAGTTTTTCAGCATTTGGGTCAAAGATGTGTTTGTTCAGTGTAAAAGTCAAGAGACGACGTTACAGGAAGAGATGAGGCCGTTCTGAAAACTGTGGTAAAAACACTATAAAACACCAATAATGGAGCAATGGAGAACGGTTACTGTAATGTCCCGGTTAGGTCAGGAGAACATGGTGGTTTGGGTCAAAATAAGTACTTCCTCAACATTATTGTCATGCCTATTGGTGTGTGTGTGTGTGTGTGTGCGTGCGTGCGTGCGTGCGTGCGTGCGTGCGTGCGTGCGTGCGTGCGTGCGTGCGTGCGTGCGTGCGTGCGTGCGTGCGTGCGTGCGTGCGTGCGTGCGTGCGTGCGTGCGTGCGTGCGTGCGTGCGTGCGTGCGTGCGTGCGTGCGTGCGTGCGTGCGTGCGTGCGTGCGTGCGTGCGTGCGTGCGTGCGTGCGTGCGTGCGTGCGTGCGTGCGTGCGTGCGTGCGTGCGTGCGTGCGTGCGTGCGTGCGTGCGTGCGTGCGTGCGTGCGTGCGTGCGTGCGTGCGTGCGTGCGTGCGTGCGTGCGTGCGTGTGTGTGTGAGAGAGAGAGAGGGAGAGACGGGGCGTTCCCAGCTGTCTCTCCTCCCATCACTCCCTCTGATGGATGGAGAAGTTATGAATATGCAGTTGATTTCTGGAAGCTGATGGCAGCTGACAAATGGAGCGTCTCACCTTCAGTAACCGTTGCTGCTTCCTGACTCGGGGGTGGGGTGGGGGTGTGTGTGTGTGTTGGGGGGGTGGGGGGGTGATGGTGAAAGATGTGCTTGTTGTGTGGGATTCAGGGTTTTGAAGGACGAGGCCGTCACAGACGAGTTGGAGCAACAATCTGAAAGACAGTTTTGTCTTGATTGATTTTGTCGACATCACTGCAGGTGATGGACAGAACACATGTGACTCACAGATATTCACATTAACACAATTATTTTCTGTATTTCAAGTTTTTAGATTTTTTTTTCTTTTACCCCTTTTCCAGAGCAGATTTATGAACACGTGATGAAGTCCTTGTTTTATTTTGTTGACACACTCGAGTCACTGAGGGGAATTTGGATGTCTCTTTTATCACTTCATAAATCAGAAGATACTGTCAACAGACATAAAAACATTTTCTCCATGTTCTTTAGAATAAAATGTATAAATCATGAATGAGACGAAAAAGCTTTGAGAATATAGATAAGAATAAAGCTGGAGAGCCATTTAATAGGAGAGTCCACACTCTCTCTCTTTTTCGTTTTGATTTTATGATTTCTGTATTTTTAATTATTTTCTATATTTAACATAAAAATTATTTATCTTGATTATTTTTCTATGTTTTAATTATCTTTATTATTTAATCCATTTTACATTTATGTTTTTAAATTTTTTTTTAATGTATTTTATGTTTGTATGTTATTTTTATTTATCTTTATCTTTTCATGTGAAGCACTTTCTTGTCTGAACAATAAAGTTTATTATGAGAATAAAACAGCTTCAAAATTGACCAGTGCATAAAAAAAAAAACATGTATGCCTGCCTCAGCTTAAGGATGAAGACTTTTATTTTGACAGTCCTGACATGAGAAGATTACAGCTTTCAAACACATTGAGCATTTCTCCTTAACAAACTTTTAATTTGTGCCTGAACTTCCTGTTTCTCTCGTCTCGCCTGATGTGTTTTGACATTTCACCGTTCGACTGTCACGAGCTGCTGCGAGGTGATTGGCGGTTTGACAGCAGCTGTGATTGGCCGACTCGTCCTGCTGACACAATGAATGTATTTATTTGTTTTACACCAGTTAAAATCATTCCACTCATGTTTCAGCATAAAACTCTTCTCCACTCCTGAATCGGACTCTATGAGTCTCTGACTCAGTGAATTTCAGACTTTTTGAATCTCTGACTCTGAGTCTGTGACTCTCTGACTCTGACTAAAAAAAGACTGGTGGTGAAATTCACCCTCTCACCTGATGGAGAAGGTTCTTTAAATGCTTTATGAGTTATTCTTTTTTTGCAGTGCCACCCTGTTTAAACAGTATTTAAGTCAGTTGATATCTGATGAGCATCAGTTTGGGATCTGAATAATTTGCATAAACTTTAGATTTATTATGTGAGGTTATGGATGTGAGATAATAACAATATTAACCAAACGTCTGTAATGTTTGAATTATGTTTGTTTCCTGTGTTCCTCAGTGGAGTCCAGCAGCCCCAGCCTCCTGGCTCCTGACAACTCTCTGGAACGATCCTTCTTCATCCGGATGAAGTCCACGCTCACAAAGAGAGGAGTGCACATCAAGTCCTCAGGATATAAGGTCAGGCTGGTGAATTAGAAACAGACTGTGTGAAACAACACATACCACCTTAAAGCTCCTCCAGTGTAAAGGTCTGTGTCCATGTGTAGTGTGATTATAGATCAGCTCTAGCTTCTATATTAATACTGTGAAAGTATCAAAGCCTCAGTCCACAGAGAAATGCACACAGCCTGTATTCAGAAACTGAGCCTTAAAACCAGCCGTCAGGACTTCTGGAACTTTGTGATGTCACAACAAAGCAGACACCAAGCCCCGCCCACCTGGACCCACCATCCAAACCTTGCAGGATTTGGTTTCTCTGAGTGTTTTTACCTGAAATCTGCTTTATTTTTATTGGATCACTCAGAAAACAGTCAGCCAATCAGAAGAGAGGCTCAGAGCCTCCTCTCTTCTGATTGGCTCACAGACCTGTTGTTACTAGAGCTGCAGAGAGAAGCCTGAGAGAGGAGATGGTGGCCGTGCTTTTACTTTGTCATTTTAAAAAAAATACTTCCTCTTTTCCTTCAGAGACGGAATCATCAATGAAGTTGGATGTTTTATTCTCATACTGTGTGTGTGTGTGTGTGTGTGTGTGTGTGTGTGTGTGTGTGTGTGTGTGTGTACCACGTTCCACCTGGCAGACTCAGATCACATGCAAATCACAGTGGAGACGGAGAAGCACATAAATATTCACACACACATGCATATATTACTGCACATATTTCCACTCACTTGACACATACAGCACTGCAAAACACACACACACACACACACACACACACACAGTGTTACAGTTAGCAGTCTGAAAGCTCTTGTGTTGCAGCACAGGCCTGAAGGTGGAAGAAGCTGATTCAGTTTCAGAAACATAAATTCACCTTTTACCAACATGATGATTCTCACATTCACTTTCAACAACGTCCGATCACAGCAGCTGAAGCATGGTGAGAGTGTGTGTGTGTGTGAGTGAGTGTGTGTGTGTGAGTGAGTGTGTGAGCGAGTGTGTGTGAGTGAGTGTGTGAGTGAGTGAGTGTGTGTGTGTGTGTGTGTATGTTCTCGGTCAAACTACACAAACAGAAACATTTGACGTGTGTTTGCACAGTCACCATATTGAAAGAATCAGCTGTGACTCTTTTACAATGAGACGTTTTAACTGAAACATTTCACAAACATTAATTAAGTGATTTAAATCTCTTTAATGAGACATTTTTAGACATTTTTTTAATGTTTTAAGAATTTGCATGTCACGTGTTGTGTGTGTGTCAGCTCCGCTCTGACTCACATGCTTGGTAACCCACAGTGAAATGACTGGAGACCCACAGTCAGAGGACAGAGACAGGTTTACGTCTTGGACGATTTCAGGCGTGAGCCTCGTCTTCCTCTCCTCTTGTTTGACCCTCGTGTCTGTAGAGAAGACACACGCTGTTTAAAGGCGAGTGAGCCGCAGCTGATGAACATTTCTCCTGATCCATCGTGTCTGACAGACTTTAG